AACTCAGCGAGTGTACGTTTGTTTTCATTGGATGCTCCCAAGAAATTGGTACCGTTGTCGGAAAACAAATCGTGACAAAACCCTCGTCTTGCGATGAAACGGTCGAGCGCATGCAAGAATGTTTGAGCGGTCAAATCGCCGGCAGCTTCCAAGTGAACTGCTTTGGTGACCATGCATGTAAATACGGCCACATATCCCTTGTATGACGATTGGCCTCGACCTTTTGATGCACGAATGTCGAATGGGCCAGCATAATCAACGATAGATGCGGCGAATGGACGAGTTTGCTCGTTTAAACGATGAGCAGGTAACGAGCCCATCAATTGTTGTGATAAAGTCGGGTTGTGTTTGAAACACACGACGCATTTGTTGATGAGATTGCGGGCGAATGTGCGCACGTTCAAAATCCAAAAATTCTGTCTGATTTGGTTTACGGTCAATTGCGGGCCGCCGTGCAATGTGAGCTGATGATAAAATTTAACGATTAACCATGCTAGCCGACTCTTTGATGGAAGGATGATTGGAAATTTTTCGTTGAACGGCATGAAAGCGTTTTGTAAACGGCCGTTGACGCGTAGCAAATCATTTTCATCAAGAAATGGATTGAGTTTATAGATTTTGCTGGATCGGTCGATCGATTTTTGTTGACGGATTGAATGTAATTCGGCCGAAAATTCGAGGGACTGCACCCATCGTACGATGCAATTCTCGCTGGTTTGAATTTCAGCGACGGTGAGGGGATCGACTCGTTTGATTAATTCATTGACTGAATGGGATAGTCTCGATTTTGGCAGTTTGAGTTTGATTGAACGTTGTACGTTATGCACAAAGCGAATGGCGTAGGCGATCGAACGTCGTAAGCGATTGAAATTTGAAAATCGTTGCATTATTGATTCGATGCGTGGCGTTTCGTTGATTGTGACGTTGACAGACTTGAATTTCGATCGAAGCTCTTTTTTGTCGTCGGAGGCCAGATCAAATTTAGAAATTGGCCATTGAGATTCAGGTAAGGAAAGAAAACTTGGCCCTTTCCACCACAAAGTTGAGTCACGTAATTGAGTGACGTTTAAACCTCTGCTATTGCAATCAGCAGGATTTTGTTTTGATTCGATGTGACGCCACTGTTCAATTTCCGTGAAGGATAAAATGTGATGAATACGATTGAAAACAAATGTCGTCCAA